ACCCGAATTTGCTTCCAAAAAAACATCCGTCAAATCCCTCGGCCCCATCATGGCCCACATGCCTCATGCCTGCCTTACTAAGCCCACTCACCCGACGAGCTCCTAGTCACCCCACGAACCCTATTGACAATAGAAGCCTAAACCCACACCCCCCGCGGTCCTCGAATCCCGAACCGTGGAAATCCTCAACCCGAAGACCGCAACCTTCAACTCCAAACCCCAAACCCCGAACCCGAAACCCTGAACCCTCCGAAGCCCTAAACCCTAAACCCTAAACCCTGAACCCTAAACCCCTAAGCCCCTAAACCCTAAAAAACTGAACCCTGAACCCCTAAACCTAAACCCTAAACCCTAAACCCTAAACCCTAAACCCTAAACCCTAAACCCTAAACCCTAAACCCTAAACCCTAAACCCTAAACCCTAAACCCTAAACCTTCCGGGGGCCACCCAGGAGCCAGATCTGGCTGTCCACCGAGCCCTCCAGGCTGCTGAGGCGCAAACTGGCCCCCCCCGCACCCATCCGAGTATGTGTGTGTTTGTTTTTTTTTTTTTTGGGGGGGGGGGGGGGGGGGTTAGGGTTTAGGGTTTAGGGTTTGGGGTTTGGGGTTTAATTAGGTTTAGGGTTTAATTAGGTTTAGGGTTTAGGGTTTCGGGTCTTAGGGTTTAGGGTTTAGGGTTTCCCAGTACGTGTGGGGGGTTGTGAGGTTTGGGGGGTTTAGGGTTTTTGGGGTGTGGGGTTTGGGTTTGGGTCGGACTTGCGTCGTTGGGGTTTGTGGTTTGAGCTTTAGGGTGCGGGGTGCTTGGAATTAAGGGTTGTGGTGTCCACCCTTAGAGACCCCCTAAACACGCACAGCCCGTCATGAGACAGCCAAGAATCTTAACCCTAAACCCTAAACCCTAAACCCTAAACCCTAAACCCTAAACCCTAAACCCCCTCAGAAGCAAGCTTTGAAAGCCTCAAGACCCCGGGGCCCCTGAACCTTCAAACCCCTAAACCCTCAAACCACTACATCCCGACCCTAAAGCCACCCTAAACCCAAAACCACCCTAAGCCACAGACCACTAAACCCTAAACCCCTAAGCCCTAAACCCTGAACCCCTAAACCCACCCTGAAGCCTAAATCCCTAACCCCTCAAACCCTAAAAGCCCGAAAAGCCCTAAACCCTAACTCTAGACCCCCACACCCCCAAACACCAGCAGCCCTAAACACTGAAGCCCTAAACCCCAAAACCCCAAACCATCAACCCCCTAAACCCTAAACCCTAAAAACCAAACCCTGAACCCTAAACCCTGAACCCTAAACCTAATTAAACCCTAAACCCTAAACCCTAAACCCTAAACCCTAAACCCTAAACCCTAAACCCTAAACCCTAAACCCTAAACCCTAAACCCTAAACCCTAGCCCTAAACCCTAAACCATCAACCCCCTAAACGCTAAATACCTGGTGAGGCTCCCCGATTGGGGCACTGGGCCATGGCTCCATCCCTCAGCACCTCTCGAAGCGCAGCCATCCAGCTCTGAGTTGGGTGGTTCTAGGGTTTAGGGTTTTAGGGGTTTAGGGTTTAGGGTTTGCAAGGGGTTTAGGGTTTAGGGTTCAGGGTTTAGGGTTTAGGGTTTAGGGCTAGGGTTGAGGGCTAGGGTTCAGGGTTTAGGGTTCAGGGTTTAGGGGTTTGGGGGTTTGGGTTGGGGGTTTGGCGGGGGGGGGGGGGGGGGGGGGGGGGGGGGGGGGGATTCGGGTTTAGCAAGGGTGCCCTTGCTTTACTAAGAAGGCCAGAGCTTTTCTTCTTACCATTCTTATTCTTGTTCTGTTTCTTCGTCTTCTTCTTCTGCTTCTTCTTCCAGGGCTGCGAATAACCGTGTTTGGGAGTTCGGGTGTCCGTAGGGCAAGCGTTTGGTGGTTTAGGGTTTAGGGTTTAGGGTTTAGGGTTTAGGGTTGGCGGAATGAACATTGGTACTGCAACTCGGCTCACTTTTTCTTCTCCTGCTCTTGGAGTTGCGCAGAAGTGGATGCATGATAGAGTTCCCTCTACACAACCCATAACCCCTGAACCGTAAAGACCCGGTTTAAAGAAGCATCCCAGTCCTGAACCCTTAACCCCTCTGAATCATAAACCCTAAACCCTAAACCCTAAACCCTGAACCCTGAACCCTGAACCCTAAACCCTAAACCCTAAACCCTAAATCCTATCAAGCATCGGAAAGCTGAGGCTCTTGGCCCACCAGCCTTCCGAGTACTTCACCGGAGAGCTCCCAAACCAGGGCCTGGAGGCGTAGACTGCGTTTAGGGTTTAGGGTTTAGGTGTTAGGGTTTAGGGTTTAGGGTTTTCAGCTTCCAGGGCCGTGGGGGTCCTCGGTTTCTGGGAAACTGGACATATCAGCTTCGCAGTCTTATGGGGTATTTTAGGGATTCAACCTGGGTGCATGAGAGGTTTCTGGTTTTGGGGGTTGGCTTCGGGCTGTATAAGGGTTTAGGGTTTAGGGATTAGGGTTTAGGGTTTAGGAAGGGTTAAGTTTGCGGATGAGGGTGGTGAGGTTTAAAGGTGCGGAGGCGTTTGGGTCTAGGGCTCCTGGGGTTTGAGGGTAGACTTTTTGCGGTCTAGGGCTGTTGCCTTTTGTAGCTTTGTTTAGGGTTCAGGGTTTAGGGTTTAGGGTTTAGGGTTTAGGGTTTAGGGTTTAGGGTTTAGGGTTTAGGGTGTGGGGTTGGGAGGTGAGTGGTGTTGAAGTTCAGGGCTGTAGCTTTCGCGTTCGGGGGCAGAGGGGTCCCGTGATTCACGACAGCAAATAGCTCCTAAACCCTAAACCCTAAACCCTAAACTCTAAACCCTAAACCCTAAACCCTAAACCCTAAACCCTAAACCCCAAACCCCAAACCCCAAACCCCAAACCCCAAACCAAGACCTGAGCCTTTGTTCTGAGTGCGAGAAGGGCCCAAGGGCATATGAGGGTGCCCCAAGATGCAGAACGCAACAACTCTGAGCCCTACTACTCCGAAGTCCCCTGAACCCTAAACCCTAAACCCTAAACCCTAAGCCCTAAGCCCTAAACCCTAAACTCCTAGAATCCTGGCAGCCTCAAGTCCTCAACCCAAACCAGCAAACCGCAACATTCAAATCCGATCTGGTGTTAGGTTTAGGGTTTAGGGTTTAGGGCTTAGGGTTTAGGGTTTAGGTTTAGGGTTTAGGGTTTAGGGTTTAGGGTTTAGGGTTTAGGGTTTAGGGTTTAGGGTTTAGGGTTTAGGGTTTAGGGTAGGTATCCCTTAGCCTCCTTTCGGTACGAATGAAGCCCGTTAAACCTTTTCCTCGGGTTGCTCAGCCAAGGACTTAGGGAATCTCGCCTTCCAAGACTCTATAAACCCTAAACCCTAAACCCTAAACCCTAAACCCTAAACCCTGAACCCCGAACCCTGAACCCTGAACCCTAGACCCTAAACCCTAAACCCTAAACCCTAAACCCTAAACCCTAAACCCTAAACCCGAAGCCAAGCCGCCTGGAGACAGGCTCTGACAGCACCACATGCCGCGAATGGGTCGACTGCGAGCGTGGTGACGGGCGTTGAGGGCCCGCTGATCCAGGATCCAACCTTAAGACCCCGGCCCCCCTGGGTTTAGGGTTTAGGGTTTAGGGTTTAGGGTTTAGGGTTTAGGGTTAGGTAGTGAACTCCAGAAAGTTGGAACATTGGTTTAGGATGATTAGTACTGGGTTTGCCTATATTTGACCTTAAGGGCATTAGGGTGTTGATGTTCCCACTTTTCTGGAGTTTGCGATCCTAAACCCGGCGCGCTTCGTGCAAGCAGGGGCGACTCCTGTTTAACATCAAACCATAAAGCCCTAAACCTATCACGAAAACTTGGTAGCCCTGTGGTACCCTTTGCCCTTTTTTCGTTTATGGAGAATATAAAGTAACCAACCCAGAAAAAGGATGCCCTTATCATAAGATGGATACTGGGCTACCAACAGCCCTGCAAAGCCCCAAGAACCCTAAGCCCCCGCACAGGGCTACCATCCAACACCTACACTCCCCCAGATAAACGGGTTTCCGGGAGCTTTTGGTTAAAGGAGATGCAGAATGAGAATGATTGGCTGCTTGTGTTGTGTTTAGGGTCCTAGGGTTTAGGGCCTAGGGTCTAGGGTCTAGGGTCTAGGGTTTAGGGTTTAGGGTTTAGGGTTTAGGGTTTAGGGTGTAGGGTTTAGGGTTTAGGGTTTAGGCTCAGGGTTTGTGTAGGGTTTAGGGGTCAAGGTTACAAGGACAGTCCGGCCATCTTCTCTTGATCTTTGCAAGGACGATCCGCGAGTTCGCCGCATTTTGGAGGCACACCCTGCAAACCGAACATCGCGAGGCCCTAAACCCTAAACCCGAAACCCTAAACCCTAAACCTTAAACCCTAAACCCTAAACCCCGTAGAAACCCGAAGCTGTGCACAAATGCTCCAAGCCGTATCCGAAGCCCCTTGTTGCTTTGTAGGCCTTGGTGCAAGGGTGAGAGCTTGTTTTGTGCTGATTTCTTCAGGGTTAAGCGTGCTTTTCTTAATCCCTAAACGCCGTGAACCCTGACCCCCAAAACCCTAAACCCTAAACCCTTGAACCATGTCAACGTTAAACCCTGAACCCTTTGAACCCTTTAAACCCTGAGCCCTTTACAACCTGAACCCGTTTAAACCCTCCCCAAACCCTTCCAGGATCCCTAAACCATAAACCCTAAACCCTAGAGCCCGCACGAAACCCTAACAGTAAACCCTAAACCCTGCCAAGCCCGTCAGCCTGTGAGGCTCAGGCACATGGAAGTGCACCCGGGGACCGAGGTGTGAACACATGTTTGGGGGGACTCCGGGTTTAGGGGCGCATCTTTCGCTTCATAGGCTTTAACCAGGGTTTGCATATACATATTCATATCGGTTTAGGTTTGTGCAAATTGTGAGAGCACACACACACACACACTTGACTGGGACGTTGTCCGGGGTGTTTAGGGTGTGGGGCATGACTTTGAAGGGTTTAGCGCCATGCCGCCCGGTTGCCTGAAGAGATGCGCAGCGCTGTGTGCGTGTCTGATGCTGGTACCCCACCTGGCGCAAGGGGAGCCCAGCAACTGCAGTGATCTGGCGGCTGGCTTGTACAGAATTTTGTGCAATTCTGCGGAGTTGTTCTAAAGTGGTCTGACACTGTTTTTGTTTCGTTCCAGGTTGCAGATGTTTGGCTGGGTTCTTGTTGTTAAGGAACCTAAGCTAAGCTACCACAATATTGGGGTTATATAGTAAACGAATTTAAAGGTCCTCATTAGTTATGGTACCTTCAACCAAGCTACCAAAACCTGGGGGGGGGGGGTATGTAGCAAACCATTGTCTATCCTTAAGATGGTTACTTGTTTCAAGTTCCTGAACAAGAACCCTGATACGGGTTTTTTCCTTGACCCCATAGAGTGGCAGCTCTTAAGCAGGCCTGCTGTTGACCCTGAACCCTTACAACCTGAAAATTTTCCCCTTCCACTAACAGTCCTTAATCGGGATTTTACTCGGGGGTCCTAAAATTCCGTTCAAGGAGTTTTAGTATAAGGGGGAACATCTCAACTCATAGCCCCAAAACACCCTGCCCTTGCCCAGGTGGAGTATGGCCTCAAGCCTGACAACCGCTGCTGCTATGAGCGCCGCGCCTACGTGGAGCTCCGAACCTACACGTGGAAGCCATCCAGTCGGACATAACACCCTTTTTCGTTGCTGTAGTTGTGGCTAGAAGAGCCCTCAACCTACTTGGAGCTACAAGTAGTTACTCTGGCTTGTTGTGCGAAGTGTAGCTACAAGTAGCTACGAGGAGCTCCTGTGCTCTAAATAGAGTTTATCGTTGCGCAAAGCTTGTGTGGCTACAAGCTTCTCCTTCTGCAAGTAGATTCTCGTTACGAGGAACCAAACTCCAGCCAGCACGATGAGCCGTTTTGCAGCTAAACCCTAAACCCTAAACCCTAAACCCTAAACCCTAAACCCTAAACCCTAAACCCTAAACCCTAAACCCTAAACCCTAAACCCTAAACCCCCGAGCTGCAACCTAGCTTTGGTCCTGAGCCCTAAGTACAAGCTCTGTAAGCCCTGAGTGTCGGATCTCTTACACCAGCTGCAGGTGGAGTTTCCGAAATTCGGGGTACCTTATGGGGGGGGCGGGTCCTGATTCTAAGGGAATCACCCTACCCCAAACCCTAAACCCTAAACCCTAAACCCTAAACCCTAAACCCTAAACCCTAAACCCTAAGGTTCTTTATGGGCTTGGCCGTCGTTCCCTGGACGCTCTTTCCCAACCGTGGCGGGATGCTCTCAAGTGGCCTGCAGCACGTGCAGGCAGGGCTTCCAACGCAAACCGCAACCACCCTTCAGAGTTTAGGGTTTAGGGTTTAGGGTTGAGGGTTGAGGGTTTAGGGTTTATAGGGCTTTAATTTATAGGGCTTACTGGGGCTTCAAAGGGCTTATGGGGCTTTATGGGGTTTGATAGGGCTTTTAGGGTTTAGGGTTCCGGGGGCAACCCTAAACCCTAAACCCTAAACCCTAAACCCTAAACCCTAAACCCTAAACCCTAAACCCTAAACCCTAAACCCTAAACCCTACATTCGTTTTTAAACCCCTTGTCCTTTTTGATGGGACTGGCAGTCGCAGCTACTATGGAGGCTAACGACCTTCCGAATCACGACTAGAACTGGCAGCGGTGGCTCCCCAAACCCTAAACCCTAAACCCTAAACCCTAAACCCTAAACCCTAAACCCTAAACCCTAAACCCCCTAAAACCCTAAACCCCCTGAAACCCCTAAACCCCCTAAAATCCCTAAAATCCCCCAAACCCCATAAGCCTAACTTGGGCTGGCTGGAGAGACCTCCGTATCCCGCGACCGTGCCCTCCGAATTCCACTTCTATAACCTCTCGCTGTGTGCTTCAACGAGACCCAGAAATTCTAAACTCCCCAACTCCACAACCACCCCCACTAAAAAAGACCCCCAAGGCCCTAAACCCCCAAAACCCCAAACCCAAAACCCCAAACCCAAAACCCTAAACCCCAAACCCTAAACCCCAAACCCCAAACCCCAAACCCCTAAACCCAAATCCCCAAGCTCCAAACCCCAAACCCTAAACTCCAGACCCTAAACCCTAAACCCCTAAAACCCCCAAACCCTCAGCCCTAAACACCTAAACCCCAAACCCTAAACCCTCCCTACCATATAGATTTACAAGTTAATTTAATTTCAGTTTTTGGCCGCTTGATTTTCAGTTTTTGGCCGCTTTATTTTCAGCTTTTGGCCGCTTTATTTTCAGTTTTGGCCGCTTTATTTTCAGTTTTTGGCCGCTTTATTTTCAGTTTTTGGCCGCGTTATTTTCAGTTTTTGGCCGCTTTATTTTCAGCTGTTGGCCTTTTGGCCGTTTTTGCTTTCTCAATGTTGTGGGATTCTCTGGGTGGGCGGGTGTTATATCCGAGCCGTAAATAAAGCTTAACTGTACAACTGCTCGACCCGGAGTGCTGATCCCCAAACCCCAAACCATAAACCCAAAACCCTACTCCCCAAACCCCAAACCCCAAACGCCAAACCCTAAACCCCTAAACCCCTAAACCCCAAACCCTAAACCCTAAACCCTAAACCCCTAAACCCCTAAACCCTAAACCCTATACCCTAAACCCTAAACCCTAAACCCTAAACCCTAAACCCTAAACCCTAAACCCTAAACCCCAAACCCCACCCCCCCCGGCAGTACGGCGGATGCATCGCCCTCGGCGTGGCCTTTTCGACCATCCTCGAGTGCTCGCTCGCCATCGTGGCGGCCTTGCGCCTTTGTCTTCGAGGTAGGGGGTTTAGGGTTTAGGGTTTAGGGTTTAGGGTTTAGGGTTTGGGTTTTGGGGGTTGGGGTTTAGGGTTTAGGGGTGTAGGGGTTGAGGGGTGTAGGGGTTCAGGGGTTCAGGGGTTCAGGGGTTTAGGGTTTTTTGGCTTTAGGGTTTTAGGGTTTAGGGTTGTGCAAAGGGTGTACGTAGGGTTTCGTGCTTAGGGTCTACCTAGGGTTTAGGGTTTTTTCTAGGGGGTGTCTTGCTGACTTTTTGAAGGGCTCAGGGCGTGGATGGTTTGGGTTAGGGCTTTTTGCAGGCAGATAGGGTAAACCCTAAACCGTTTTGAGGGAGCAAGTCAACAAACAGTTCCTGGGGTTCAGGGTTTGGGGTTCAAGAGGAGTCTCATCCAAAGTCCACACTTGCCCTCTTTCTTTGGGGGGGCCGGTTCACACCCTCACAAGCTAACTCGCACCTTAAACCCTAAGACCCTTTGATCCTTCCAAGCCTAAGCCCTAAACCCTAAACCCTAAACCCTAAACCCTAAACATCCCTAAACCCTAAGCCCTAGACCCTAAGCCCTAAGCCCCAAACCCTAAAGCCTAACTAAACCCTACACCCAGCGGCCCAGCGGTTACGCACATGTCAGCACTTTTCGATGCCCTTCTGGTCTCAGAGCCGCATCATCTGTAGCTTGCATGCCGGGAGAGCCCGCCAGTGAATTCCGTCGGGGTAACATATCCCTTAGTAGCTGAGTGAGTACACTTTACACTTTTTGGGATACTATACTCCCCTATCGAACTGAAAGTGTACACTTTTGGGGGGGGCTTATGAACTCAGCAACTAAGACCAGAACAGTCTCCACACATCGTCCTAAACCTTCTAACTCCTAAACCCTGAACCCCAGACCCTCTCCTACAGCTATACGAGGCTCGTTGGTTCAGCACGAGGGTTTGTGTTTGGTACAGGGTATGGGAGCGACCTTTGGGCGTCTCAAAACCCTGCACCCTGACCTCACACCCTAAACCCTAAACCCTACACCCTAAACCCTAAACATCCCTAAACCCTAAGCCCTAAACCCTAAGCCCTAAGCCCTAAACCCTAAACCCTAAAACCCTAAAACCCTAAAACCCTAAAACCCTAAACCCTAAACCCTAAACCCTACACCCTAAACCCCCCAAAAGCCCTAGGCCTCTCTGGGGCCTCATGGAGTCTGCCACGGTGCTGAGCGAACCCACCTTATCCATTGCGCTCGCCGATCTCAGAGCCTTGGAAAAGGTTGGGGTTTAGGGTTTAGGGTTCAGGGTTCAGGGTTCAGGGTTCAGGGTTTCGGGATGTTGTTCTTCCAGTAGGTTAGCTTTACAGGGGACCACAAACAACTTTGGCCTTTTGAGGGTTCCAAGAACAGAGGAGAGAACTCCTACTCCAATCCGCTCCCCCAAAAATTAAACCCCCCCCTTCCCACCTAATATTCAATACTCCAAATACAAGAGTAGCACGATAATGGGAGTGTTTGAATTTAGGGGGTAGGGGGGGGTTAATTTTAGGGGAGGGGATTCTAGGGGTTCATTAAGTATTCGGGGTTATTGCTGGGAGTTCTTGGAAAGGTTCTTTGCTTCTTTTCAAGGCTTCCAAGTTGTGTTCTGGGCAAAATCTCCGTACGGAGGCCCTAAACCCCAAACCGTAAACCCTAAACCCAGTCGCGCCGCAGTGCCAGTCCCAGGAACCCGGGGCGACACGAAGCCCGACATCCTAAACCCTAAACCGGAAACTCTGTCTGAGGTTGGAACCATGCGCCTTTAGCATGGTCCCTTGCCCTCCTTTATACGGATCCGAAGTATGGGCCCTTATAAGGGTTACATGACAAGGGACCCAAGTTAAGGCCCGATACTTGGGGGGGGGGGGGGTATCGAGAGATTCTTTCTCTTTTCGAGCAGGAGCAGAGAATTCCGAAATCTTACCCAGATCAACGCTACACCTAGGGTGTAGGGATAAGGATCCAAGGATTCAGGGTTTAGGATTCGATTCAGGGTTTAGGGTTTAGGGTTTAGGGTTTAGGGTTTAGGGTTTAGGGTTTAGGGTTTAGGGTTTAGGGTTTAGGGTTTAGGGTTTAGGGTTTAGGGTGTAGGGTTTAGGGTTTGGGGTTTAGGGTTTAGGGTTTAGGGTTTAGGATTCAGGGTTTAGGGTTTAGGGTTTAGGGTTTAGAGTTTGGTTCGGGTTTAGGGTTTAGGGCGCTGATTCATTCTCCTTCTCAAAACAAGAGGGGCTATTTGTTGAACCCAACAGACCAAGAGAGAGCGGTTCGCTGTAGAGGTCACTATCGGTTTGGCCCCTAAGCCCTAAACCCTGAACCCTAAACCCTAAACCCTAAACCCCAAACCCCAAACCCCAAACCCCAAACCCCAAAACCCAAAACCCTAACCCTAAACCCTAAATCCCGAACCCTAAACCCTAAACCCTAAACCGCCAGATGTGAGCCAGAGTCGATCTCAGGAGCCAGCATTAGCTTCGTGCTGACCTTCTCCCTGGAGGAGACGACCTTGCTGGGCTTCGGGTTTAGGGTTTAGGGTTTAGGGTTTAGGGTTTAGGGTTTAGGGTTTAGGGATCTGAGAGAACGCCACTGAAGAGGAGAGGCGAGCCTGGCCCTGGAAGAGGGCACTGACTCTGGGCAGACCAGTGGTGCCCTTTACCCCTTTTTTTTGTTCAAGGTTCCCTTCTAAAGTAACCAACCGAAAAAGGTTTAGGGTTTAGGGTTTAGGGTTTAGGGTTTAGGGTTTAGGGTTTAGGGTTACTGGGCTACCCAGGACTCACGCCTACTTGCTGGTGAAGGCTGTCGAGGAAAGGGTGGGTGATCGGCCCGCAGGGAGTGTTTAGTGCGCGATAAAAGTCAGGATTTTAGGGTTGTTTTGGGGCTTAAGGTTTTTTTTAGAGTTTTCTGAGGTTTAGCGTTAAAGACAGGATTTTAGGGTTGTTTTGGGGCTTAAGGTTTTTTTTTTTAGTTTTTAAGGTATTTAGCGTTAAAGGCTTTCGTGTTCACAGCAGGTTGAATGTGCAGGGGTGCTCAAATTATTTAGGGGATGCTTGGCGGTTTTTTGGGCCAAAACGCAGAATCCTCTCCTAACTCCCAGGATCCCTCTCTTCTTGTGAAAGGCTGTTGGTGTGTCGAATGTATTGTTTTCAACAGTAGGGATACGCATTCATATTCTCATATTGGGCGATTCTGAGGGCTAAAAAAAAGTTCTCAACCCTGTAAACCCCAACCCTACAAACCCTCTAAACCATACAAGCCCCAGAAACCCTATAAACCCTACAAACCCTACAGACTCTGTCAACCCTATAACTTTGTAAACCCAATACAGCCTGTAAACCCTATAGACCCGAACCCCTACATAGTCTACAAACCCTACAAACCCCAAAAGACCTACAAACCCTCTAAACCCTAAAAAACCCTCATAAACCCTTATAAACCCTGTAAACCCTAAAAAACCCTGTAAACCCCTGTAAGCCCTGTAAACCCTTATAAGCCCTGTAAACCCTGTAAACCCTAAACCCTAAACCCTAAACCCTAAACCCTACAAACGTCCAGGCTTCCCACAACTAGTCCGAGACCTTACATGGCTCTCCCGCCGGCTCGGGACGGATACCGTTCCAGTTCCGCCCGCCACGAGGTCCCGTCCGCAGGGTAAAAAGGTTCAGGGGGTTTAGGGTTTAGGGTTTAGGGTTTAGGGTTTAGGGTTTAGGGTTTAGGGTTTAGGGTTTAGCGTTCAGGGTTCAGGGTTTAGGGTTTAGTGTTTGTAAATCAGGGTTTAGGATTCAGGGTTCAGTTTTGAGCAAGCGGTGAGGATTTGGGATGCAGGATTTACAGGCTTTCGGGTCTAGGGTTTAGGGCAATTCAGCCCTGTACGCAACCAGGCTCGAGAAGTGGCAGTTTGTCGGAAACATCCCAATGGTGGTGCTCAAAGCATGGCAGCAGCAAGAGGCGGGGGGCGGGGGGGGGGGGGGGGGGGGGAAAAACTAAACCCTAAAACCCCACTTGGCATTGCTGGTGGCTATGACTATGGGCCCCTTTTTAGAGTTTGTGGGCACCCCTACATGTAAGGCTCCGACTTCACCTGCCTATTGTCCTACTTCAACAAACCGCATTGCTGATAACACTCCCTCGTGCAACACATTTTCTGAACCCTAGCTGAAACCTAAACCCTAAGCCCTAAGCCCTAAGCCCTAAGCCCTAAGCCCTAAGCCCTAAACCCTAAACCCTAAACCCTAAACCCTAACCCTTCATGTCTGCCCCCAAACAAGTGCGGCTTCGGGTAGGGGTTTGAGGCCTTGAAACTTCAGGTCTCAGGGTATGGGGTTTGGGGGTTGGCTTAACGCCTCCAGGCCTTCTCATCGGGTTTAGGGTTAGGGTTTAGGGTTTAGGGCTTAGGGCTTAGGGCTTAGGGCTTAGGGTTTGAGATTCCCTCCGCGGCTCATTCCGAGCCACCCGATACACTAAAGTTCACCAGCGCAGCTCGTGGGCTGATATAGGGGTCGGAACAATCTCTAACAATCTCTAACAGTGATCCCTTGTGGTCCCTTTATACTTATACTATAATGCCTCCCCAAAACCCTTTTGGTCCCTTTATACTTATACTACAATACCTCCCCAAAACCCTTTCCTAATTGCTAAACCCTAAACCCCGAGACAAAGCATACATGTCATCCCCTGGAAAGGCCCTGCGGGATTGCCTGGCGGTCTTGGAGCGTGCCAAGGTGCAGCACTTCCCCACTGGAGGCACACGGAGTGGATGGGCTCATATGAAACAATAAGCCTAAACCCTAAACCCTAAACCCTAAACCCTAAACCCAATGAGGAAGGACCCAGGACCCGCGGCCTTGGCGATGTCTTTCTCAGACCAAAGAAGGAGGAGACTAAATTGGCGACTTAGTGCGTTCAGTTCTCTACAAACCCTACAAACCCTACAAACCCTCTAATTCCTATAAACCCTATAAACCCTATAAACCCGATAAACCCTATAAACCCTACAAACCCTACAGCACCCTAAACCATCAAGGGCTCCTTTCAAGGCACGCTCGTGGGTCTTGTTCGCTATGGCGGCTGGGGCTGAATTTGGAATCCATGTTTACAGGTCTATAGGGCCAATCCCTATATGCTTAGGGTTTAGGGTTTAGGGTTTAGGGTTTAGGGTCTAGGGTTTAGAGTTTAGGGTTTAGGGTTTAGGGTTTAGGGATTCTATTCTATCTGGGGTAAACAGGGGAAATAGCCTTGTTTGGGCTGCAGTGAAGTTAAATTCGTACCAGAGGCCTCAAGACCCACCCCAGGTGAGCTGCAAGGACAACTGAGTGGTGGGAGTCTCGGTCCAGATAAAAAGGCTGCACTTTGGGGGGGGCGCGGGGGGGAAGTCCGGTGGGTGGTGGGTTTAGGGTTTAGGGTTTAGGGTTTAGGGTTTAGGGTTTAGGGTTTAGGGTTTAAGGTTTAGGGTTTAGGTTTAGGGTTTAGGGTTTAAATGGATTCCGGTCCTTGAGGCATTACCCCAAACTTTTCCTGGGTACCTGAGAAGGGACCTAAGGAAAGTAGACGTGGTAGACAGGGACATGGATTGGATGGTGCGTGCGGAAAGTCTCGACGCATGGTTCCTACTGGCGAAGAAAATCAGCGATGCGCTCATTGCCCGGGGGTGGCTTCGCTGCGAGCTACTGCCTTCTTTGACCGACGCTCGACTCATGGGCCGCCCTTTTGAAAGCAGGTTTAGGGTTTAGGGTTTAGGCTTTAGGGTTTAAGGCTTAGGGTTTAGGGTTTAGGGTTTAGGGTTTAGGGTTTAGGGTTAGGTGATTTTTAGAAGTCGAAGAGATGCGCATGTAGCATGCTCCTCTACCAAGAACTGTTAACTATAGGGTCGTGCCGTCATTTTCGGCACGGAAATCAGCAGCCGTAGGAAGTGAACGTGTGGGCTGGTCAGAAGCAGCGGATGAAGTGCATCCGCCACCTTCCATATCTGGCAGTTGCCGATTTCGAAGCATATTCTGTAGATGGCGAATCCTTGCAGACGGGCTTCTGTGACTTATAGTAGCTGAATGAGTACACTTTGCACTTTTTGGGATACCAAAATCCCCCATAGAACTGAAAGGGGCTTATGAACTAACCCGAAGCCCTAAACCCTAAACCCTAAACCCTAAACCCTAAACCCTAAACCCTAAACCCTAAACCCTAAACCCTAAACCCTAAACCCTAAACCCTAAACCCTAAACCCTAAACCCTAAACCCTAAACCCTAAACCCTAAACTAAGGTGAGTGCGAGTATGGGATGGCCATGGTCGATGCGAGGCAGGAGCCTGGCTGCCTTTGCTCCGGGAAGGCTTCTTGGTTGCCCAGTGGTGCCGGTTCTGGGTTCCCTTATAAAGTAAACAACCCCCTAAACCCCCGAGCCCTAAACCCTAAACCTTAAACCCCAAACCCTAAACCCTAAACCCTAACCCCTAAACCCTAAACCCCAAGGCTTACTCTCTGGAGAACGTGCTGCCGCTGCAGTCCTGTCGTGTGCACAAGGCGAGTGTGCCTTGCCCACGTCGGCCAGCTGCGTATTTGGCAACTTGGCTTGGTTTTGAGCCAGCGTCCCCTAAACCCTAAACCCTAAACCCTAAACCCTAAACCCTAAACCCTAAACCCTAAACCCTAAACCCAAAACCCAAAACCCCAAGCCCTGAACCCTCAACCCTGAAACCCTACAGGGAGCTTTTTCAGAGAGAAGGCGCTCTTATACCATAAGCCCTAGGTCGAGAGGGCCCCTCGCCCGCCTTGAGTTCAAGTCCTGGTGGAGCCATCCTAACACGTACGCCACAAAAAAGCCTCCCTAAGCCCTTTCTCCTGAGCCCTCCAAAGTCCTAGAAACCCTAGTTTAGGGTTTAGGGTTTAGGGTTTAGGGTTTAGGGTTTAGGGTTTAGGGTTTAGTAAATCCCAAAGTCCAAACCCCATACCCTAAACCGCACGGCGAAGACAAGGGGGAAGGCCTCATCCTGGCTCGTGATGCAAAAACGACAACCCTCTGCGCGCTAAACCCTAAACCCTAAACCCTAAACCCTAAACCCTAAACCCTAAACCCTAAACCCTAAACCCTAAACCCTAAACCCTAAACCCTAAACCCTAGACCGGTAGTAGTACTAGTACTAGTACTGGAGTGCGCGCTGGAGTCGCTTTGGAGTGCGCACTGGAGCGCCCTCCTGCACAGAAGACAAGTGCGCGCCGTGTGCGGTGATCCGTGTCTGATTGCTCTAACACGCCCTGCATGGCGTGAGGCACCCCTCCCCGGCGAGTCAGTGAGTCCCGACCCCACAGCAAAAGAAAAAAAACGCCCAGCTGTGCACGACAAGAAGTCAGTGCCCTGTGTCAACCCCCTCCGCGGCTGAGGAGGCGGAACTCCCGGGGCCAACGACCGCACAGGAAAAAAAGGTGCCCGGAACATTCACCAAAAACGACCACACAGCGAAAACGACCCCACAGCAGATCAAACAACACTCGGCGGCTTACGATTCATGAGTTCGTAACACAGGTTATCTTCTCCCCAAACCCTAAACGCTAAACCCGAAACCCTAAACCCTAAAACCCTAAACCCTAAACCCTAAACCCTGTGAGATCCAAGGCGGAGGTCTTCGAGATCAAAAGGTGCCTGGCTCTGCCCACCCTGACGGAAGGGCGTGCGCCCAACGACGAGCGGAATCTGAGGCTTCTGGAGGAGGCTCGTTATTTTTCTTGCGGTGTGCGGGCTCTAGGGTTTAGGGTTTAGGGTTTAGGGTTTAGGGTTTAGGGTTTACAGGGTTTACAGGGTTTACAGGGTTTACAGGGTTTACAGGGTTTACAGGGTTTATAGGGTTTATAGGGCTTACAGGGTTTATAGGGTATAGGGTTTATAGGGTTTATAGGGTTTATAGGGTTTACAGGGTTTATAGGGTTTATAGGGTTTTTGGGTTTATGGGGTTTATAGGGTTTATAGGGTTTATAGGGTTTATAGGGTTTATAGGGTTTATAGGGTTTATAGGGTTTATAGGGTTTATAGGGTTTATAGGGTTTAGGGGGTGAGGGTTTAGGGGTTGAGGCCCGTTTTTGTTGCGGTGTTCAAGTGGTCGGGGGGGTTGAGGGGTTTAGGGGTTTCAGGGGTTTAGGGGGCTTAGTTGACTTAACAGTTTTGAGGCTTGGGGAGTTCCGGGGGGGGGGGGGGGGGGTACCTTACTGAGGTCCTTGTTATAAGGGGATCCTACTATGTAGGGATCTTTGGTTTAGGGTTTAGGTTTTAGGTTTTCGGGGTTTGGGGGTTTAAGGTTCTCCTTGGGAGGGGCTCTCGTTCCCGTTTGCCCGGGTCAGACTGGGGAGGCGGTTGAAGTTTAGCCCTAAACCCTAACCCTAAACCCTCAACCCTGAACCCTAAACCCTAAACCCTGAACCCTGAACCCTGAACCCTAAACCCTAAACCCTAAACCCTATACCCTAAACCCTAAACCCTAAACCCTAAACGTTTGGCCCTGGTGTCGGCTTCGTGTCTATGGCGGTTCGTTCGATCATGGGGCCTTGTGGGTGCCTTAAGTAGGTATAGCTTTGACCACGAGTAAAACTGCCCATGTAAGCTGTTGTTGCTTGCGCTTGCGGAAGTGCTAAACCATGTGCCCCGGAAGCTCATAAGAAGTCACAACCCTGTACCCCGGCACTCAAGAGCTAAAGGAGAGACCCTGAAAAGGGACCTTCGAAACAAAATGGGGGTAACGTAGGGACTGCTTAGGTATATAGGGACTAGATAAGGTGGGGTTGTAGAGCGGAAAAGATTCAGGGAGCCCTTCTAGCAGTCCCTCCGTACATCCCTTCATTCAAGGTTTTCTTCTTAAAGCTTCATCAAATGATAATGCTTGCGGTTTAGGGCTGGGGCTCTCGTATCAGGGTAGTATCAGGATTAGGGTAAATGTAATAAGGGTTTAGGGTTTAGGGTTTAGGGTTAGGGTTTAGGGTTTAGGGTTTAGGGTTTAGGGTTTAGGGTTAAGGGTTTAGGGTTTAGGGTTTAGGGTTTAGGGTTTTGGATTAGGGTTTAGGGCCCTGCTGAACAAGGGGCTGAATGCCTCGGATGTGCATCTGCTCCGCCGGGCGGCAGCCAAATTGAGCCTCAGAGATCATTCGGGTCGCTGTAAAGGGCCCTAAACCCTAAACCCCAAACCCCAAACCCCAAACCCCAAACCCCAAACCCTAAACCCTAAACCCTAAACCCTAAACCCTAAACCCTAAACCCTAAACTCTAACCCCTAAACCCTAAACCCTAAACCCTAAACCCTAAACCCTAAACCCTAAACCCTAAACCCTAAACCCTAAACCCTAAACCCTAAACCCTAAACCCTAAACCCTAACCCTAAACCCTAAACCCCGTTTTCAATACCTCCCAGAGTCGCCCCTAGTCTGTAGTACGTTTGATTTCGGCTTAGAGTTTCGGATTTTTGTAGTAGGGTTTAGGATTTAGGGTTCGGGTTTAGGGTTTAGGGTTTAGGGTTTAGGGTTTAGGGCTTAGGGTTTAGGGTTTAGGGTTTAGGGTTTAGGGCTTCGGGTGCCGATGCGGCTTGTGATCTTCCATGTTCAGATTGTTTTGCTTGAACCCGGACACGTGAACCTTGTGGTGTGGAACCAGAGTTCTTTTGAGTCAGCCCTCTAAACCCTAAACCCTAAACCCTAAACCCTAAACCCTAAACCCTAAACCAACCCTAAACCCTATCCCAAGGAACAAGTCTGGCTATGCTTCCTTCTTGGCCGATTTCGCTGACTGTGACTTCGAACAAAGCATCCGGGTAGTCCCTTGGGACATTTTCGATTTTCCCTCTTTTAAGGTTTAGGGTTTAGGGTTATTGGGTTCAGGGTTTAGGGTTTAGGGCTATTGGGTTTAGGTCACTACCCTCAACCCTAAACCTAATCCCTAAACCCCAAACCCTAAACCCTAAGCCCCTATTGGGTTTAAGAAGATCATATGTAGGACTATTCTTTTCAGAAGAGTTGCTTAGGAGCATCCTAGGCATAACCCATGGCGACTTCGAGAAGTGGACGAAGTATCCCGCGAAGGTCAAAAAGTCTTCCCTTAGGGTTTTGGGGGTTATAGAGGTCAGGGTTTAGGGTTTAGGGGTTTAGGGTTTAGGGTTTGGGGTTCAGGGTTTGGGGTTTGGGGCTGGCTGCCTGCAAAGCTGACGCCCCGAGCAGCCTCCTACGTTTGAGTTCTTTGCGCGTCTCGCCGACTCTGTAGACAAGCATTTTTCGGTTTAGGGTCTTTGGCCGTTGGCCCTAACACCTAAACCCCTTGCAAAGACCTGAACCCCCAAAACCTGAGAGCGAAGAAGCCTTCTCAAGGCAACCCCAAACCCCGAACCCTAAACCCCAAACCCTCAACCCCTCTAAACCCCAAACTCCAAACCCTAAACCCCAAACCCTAAACCCCAAACCCTCAACCCTGAACCCTAAACCCTACCCAGGTCCCGACGTTACAACGGCCCCTCAGCCTGAAACCTCCAACCCATGGAGCCTTGAAACTCTTCGGCTTCGGCATCTACCAGTTGGGAGCACCCTAACCCCTAAACCCTAAGCCCTACACCTAAACTCTAAACCCTAAACCCTTGTGTCAAAACCCTCAACCCTGAACCCTAACCCTCAACCCTAAACCCTAAACCCTAAACCCTAAACCAGGTGGATTCGCAGTCCGGCCGGTTGCTTCGATCCAAAATCCTGCTCATCGACGAGGCGGAAGGCCACCACCCAGTCCTCGGCCTCTCATGGGTTGAGGGTTTAGGGTTTAGGGTTTAGGGGTTAGGGGTTAGGGTTTAGGGTTTAGGGTTTAGGGCAAGTCAGCTCATGTGCTGCCGACGGCCTTGATACGCTCCACCCTGACTCCGCGTGGCTTCCGTGGGTTTAAGGGTTTAAGGGTTTAAGGGTTTAAGGGTTTAAGGGTTTAAGGGTTTAAGGGTTAAAGGGATTGCTTACTGTTGGATAGCAGGGAATGGGGAGGGTTTAGGGTTTAGGGTGCTTGGGGTTGAGGGGTTGGGGCTTCAGAAGTTTCAGAGTCTGTGGGCTCTCCGGGCTTGAGTGTGTTCTGCGTCTGTGGATTCAGGCCGATCTCTCTGTCAGCATACTTCGGTTTCGGGTTTAGGGTTTAGGGTTTGGGGTTTAGGGTTTAGGGTTTAGGGTTTAGGGTTCAGGGTTTCAGGGTTTCAGGGTTTCAGGGTTTCAGGGTTTCAGGGTTTCAGGGTTTCAGGGTTTCAGGGTTTCAGGGTTTCAGGGTTTCAGGGTTTCAGGGTTTCAGGGTTTAGGGATTCCAGGTGTTTGTTGGTGAAGGGTGATCTCCACTCTTGAGCGTTCATGAACCCTGCAATCTCTAATTCAGCCCGCACCTAACAGCTCTAGGTAAGTAACAGACACTCAACCCCCAAACCCTAAACCCTAAACCCTAAACCCTAAACCCTAAACCCTAAACCCTAAAAACCCTAAAAACCCTAAACCCTAAAATCCCTAAACCTCAAACTCCAAGCCCCAAGCCCAAAACCTCAAACACCCTGAACCCTAAGCCCCAAACCTCAAACACCCTCAACTACCCTACATCCTAAACCCAACACCCCTAAACCTTACTGAATCCAAAGAAAGACAGACCCAGCCCTGCAACCCTAAACCCTAAACCCTAAACCCTAAACCCTAAACTGTGGAGGTCCTGAGCTTCTTTTGAGTGAGATGGCGTCCCTGGATGCCTTTGGGTTGGAGGAAGGCGCTGTCCGGGCTTCAGAGGGATTCCTAAACGGTTTAGGGCTAGGGTTTAGGGTTTAGGGTTTAGGGTTTAGGGTTTAGGGTTTAGGGTGTAGGGTGTAGGGTTTAGGGTTTAGGGTTTAGGGTTTAGGGTTTAGGGTTCAGGGTTCAGGGTTCAGGGTTCAGGGATTCAATAAGCCCGCTGAATTAGGGTTTCTGGTTTAGTGTTTAGGTTTCAGGGTAAAAAAGCTATCAACAAGCTCAAAGGTCCGGACGCTGAGGGGCCAAATGAAACACCTAAAACTGGGCTCGTCTATCCTATGCATCTCTAGTTCCTACTGTGGGGGGTGTACGGACCCCAAACCCGAAAACACCTTTCAGATCCTTTCAGGGCTCATTCTCCGCCCCAAGGCAGCCAGAATCTCTTCGCAAGAACCCCAAGCCCCAAGCCCCAAGCCCCAGGCCCTAAACCCTAAACCTTAAGCCCTAAACCTAAACCCTAAACCTTTCGGTGCTTCATTTCGGTGGCAGCCAAGCGCCCTCCTTCCGCCCGAGCAGGACAGTTCCTGGCAACCCTACCCCTAAACCCTAAACCCTGAACCCTAAACCCTAAACCCTAAACCCTAAACCACTTGGGGTTTCATTTCAAGAGACCTCCTTGCAGGACAGTTCCTGGCCCTGCTGCGTGGTTGGAGCCGGAGGGCGGGCAACGACATCCGGCTCTATTTGGTGGACTCCGCAGGCAGGCTGGGCAAGGAAAGGGGTTTAGGGTTTAGGGTTTAGGGTTTAGGGTTTAGGGTTTAGGGTTTAGGGTTTAGGGTTTAGGGTTTAGGGGAAAGCTTTGAGGAGTTTCGGGGGATTTCTTCGTTTAACTTCAGAATAAGATTCAAGCTGCAGGGGCTTGAGGGTTCAGGGTTTAGGCATAGAATCGTATATGTTGCTTGGGAGCCTGGAGTGCCCAGATTTTTGAAACCCTGAAAACTTACCAAATTGGGGGGGTTGGGTTTAGGGTTTAGGGTTTAGGGTTTAGGGTTTAGGGTTTAGGGTTTAGGGTTTAGGGTTTAGGGTTTAGGGTCTAGGGTCTAGGGTTTAGGGTTTAGGGTTTAGGGTTTAGGGTTTAGGGTTTAGGGTTTAGGGTTTAGGGTTTAGGGTTTAGGGTTTAGGGTTTAGGGTTTAGGGTTTAGGGTTTAGGGTTTAGGGTTGGTTGGGTGGTTCTGGTAAAAGGATTAGGGTTTAGAGCTTAGAGGTGGGGGAGGATCTCGAGGGGGAAATTCAGGTTGTCCGATGGGGAGCCGGTGACGCCTCACGGCCCAGGCTGAGGCGAAGATGGGATACTTTACTGGGGGTACTTCCCTACGAAGGCCCGTTTAACCCCTTTGGTTGAGGTTCAGGGTACCTAGGTTGGGTCTAGAGTCTCCTACAGAGGCTACTTTTCTTTTCTTGGAGCTGATGGTATCAACTAGCTAGCCATTTCCAACCCCAAAAAACAGCCTGCTGTCTTTATTGGAACGAGCACAACAATGAGGCGGTAGCACCCCTATAGCTGCAAAGCAGGGGCGGATGATGTGAGCAACTGCAGCGCGATCTGCGACGACGCCTGCGCCTTCCAGGGCCTCTGGGCGTTTATGTTGGGTCCATTCTTCGCCTAGGTTGCTGGGGACCTTCAACCCGAACCCTGAACCTAAACCCTCAGCCCTACGCCCTCAGCCCTAAGCCCTCAGCCCTCAGCCCTCAGCCCTAAGCCCTGAGCCCTAAGCCCTAAACCAACCCTAACCTGTCGTGGGAGTTATGAACCCCTCGAAAAACTAAATGCTTACTTTTCCCCCACTTTACTCAGCCAGCAAGTCAGCAGGGCCGTCGGTTGAAGGGTTTTGGGGCACGTCAGGGACCAGTTTTTTTTTGTTTTGTTCGGGGGGGGGGGGGTGGCGGTATGTTGAGGATACCCTGTGTTGGGAAAGCCCCACAAACCCTGGAAGGTGTATCATCCTCGTCTTGTTCATGTTTTTTCGTGGGTCTTGCATTTTCGTTCTTGTCACTTATTTCTGGCTTAATTAGGTGTTGGTAATTTGTTTTGTTGTTGAAGCGCTCGCAATGAAATTTTGCACATTAACAGCACCAGTGTGGACCCCACACGTCTATCAACTGCTCTTCTTGCCCCTCTAAGTTCATGAACCCTGCCAACCCTAAACCCTAAACCCTAAACCCTAAACCCTAAACCCTAAACCCTAAACCCTAAACCCTAAACCCGAATCCCACAGGTCATTGCAGCAGCAAAAGGCCACTAAACTTCAGCAAAAACAAGCGAATTCCTGAACTAGGAACTTCCTTCCGTGCACTTTAGGGTTTAGGGTTTAGGGTTTAGGGTTTCGGGTTTAGGGTTTAGGGTTTAGGGTTCAGGCAGTGGCCAGCGCTTCTTGCAAGAGGTTCGGGCCATGCGGCAGGACCCGCTGTGATAGTTTATGGGGTTGCCAGCTGAGAGTTGGAGTCCGAGCCCTAAACCCTAAACCCTAAGCCCTAAACCCTAGCCCTAAACCCTAAACCCTAAACCCTCAACCCTGAACCACCGGCTCAGGGCAACTGCTGATGTTTCGTTTTTCGAAGGCGATTTAGGGCCTTGGCTGTTGGGTCTTCGGATACAGAGTCCGAGGTTTACAGTTTCCGGAGTTCGGGGTTTGGTTCCCTAAGCCCTAAATTCTAAACTCTACCCCCGAAACCCTACATTTGGTCTTCCCTCAGAAGTCTTAACCCTGAACCCGACAGCCTGCGTCGGCAGACGTGGTGCTCTTTCTTGAGAAGTACGCAACCCCCCGACCCCCCTCCCCCGCGAGGTCTCGGAAGGTCCACATCCGATCGGGGAGTGGGGTTTAGGGTTTAGGGTTTAGGGTTTAGGGTTTAGGGTTTAGGGTTTGGGGTTCAGGGGTTAGGGTTTAGGGTTTAGGAGAGCACCACGGTCACGGTGCTTTTCATCCAGCGGCGGCCTCGTGCTCCACTATCTGCCTTTGGCTTCCTTTTCTTCCATGTGTTTCTTGGGCACCAGAGATGTCTGAGGGATGCCTTTTTGGGGTTTAGGTTTCCGGGTTTCGGGCTTAGGGTTTAGGGTATAGACACGGTATAGTTTTTAGGGTTTAGGGTTTAGGGTTTAGGGTTTAGGGTTTAGGGTTCAAACGCCCCATGACGACCTGGGTGGGGCTTGGGATGCTTTGGGCATGTCCTGAAGTAGGGGCATCCAAAAGATTGCACACTCCCCTCATAAGGATCCTCAAAAAGGGACCCCTAATGTTGGGAAGCTTTCCAGGTGGCTTTCCCGTCCCAGCTTTTGGCGGCTCGATTTTCCATCTGCCGACCCTCAAGCGTCTCCGCGGGGGGTATCGCAGGGGCAATGCCTTTCGACGCGAGGCTACTGTTTTGATTGTTATTCCCACTACTGCCAAACATTCCTGCCACTGTTAAATAAGTATTGGTATTGGGATAAACTTATGTTTGTACATTTTTGTTGTTGTTCTTGTGTTGTCCGTATCAGAGAAAGGCCGCCGTCTCATTTCGGGATGCTATGGGCTTTGACTTTGAACTTCGGAGCCCAAATGCTGCACAGAGCTGTTGATGGGGTTTAGGGCTAGGGTTTCGGGTTCAATGGGTGGCTGTTCTTAAGTCTTAAATCCATCATCTGGCAATGCACCCTCCAAACTCAGTAAGCCTTTCAGCCAACATACATGGAGCCCATAACCCGGCCCTGTCACCGTCCACAACCCCTATAGACTAGGTTCTCACCCCACACCCTGACACCCTAAACCTCCTAAACCTTGAACCCCAACCCTTAAACGCCCTAAGCCCTCACCCCAAGCCAATTCAACTCCCAGTGGTCATCAATGACCCTGAACCCCAAACCCTAAACCCTAAACCCCAAACCCTAAATCCTTAACCCCATGGTGCAAGGAGCTCCTGTTCCGCTGGACTCCTGCCACCCCATTGGGGGGTCAGGTAGAGGTGGACAACTACGAGGCCTACAGGGCTTCGTTAGGGTTTAGGGTTTAGGGTTTAGGGTTTAGGGTATAGGCGTTTGCAGTTTCAGGGCTTTCTGGTTCTTGGCATGCCACGTAGGCTGGGGACACGAAGCCTTCCGGTTAGTCGGGGCACAAACCCTATACCCTAAACCCTATAAACCCTAAACCCTAAACCGGACTTGTTAGGGTTCCGAAGGTTCTGAAGGGAGGGGGGGTTCAAGGGGGGGTATGTAACCCCAGGGTTCCCTAATACTCCCCACTACCCCCTAAGGCTCCCGAAGCTTCCCTAAGGTTCCCTAGGCACCTTCCCTTAAGAACCCCATAAGACTTGCGCGAACTCGTGCATCCCCCTGCAAGCCGACTCTGCGACGCCTCCAAGTCGCTCCTCAGGACCCTAAAAGGGTTTAGGGTTTAGGGTTTAGGGTTTAGGAGGGTTTAGGGTTTAGCATCCGAAAACCCCAGAAGCCCTAAGACCCCCAAAGTCCTGAAACCCAAAAGCCCCGCACCCAAAAAGCCTAAAACCCTAAACCCCAAACCTACCCTAAAACCCCTAAATGCCCTGAGAACCCTAAACCCTAAGCCCTAAATCCCTAAGTGCCCAAAAATCCCTAAAATCCTAGACCCCAAAACCCCAAACCCTAAAGCCTAAACCCTGAATCCCGAAAGCCCCTAAGATCCTGAAGTCTTAGCCCTGGCCCGCAGGCCCTGGCCGTCATCCCGCCCGCAGCATTTGGGCACCTCTCGCTGAATTCCTTAGAGGGGTTTAGGGTTTAGGGTTTTGGGTTTTGGGTTTAGGGTTTAGGGTTTAGGGTCTGCTCTCTTAGGGTTTGGGGTGTGAGGGTTTAGGGGTTTAGGGGTTCAGCGATTTAGGGGTTTTGAGGGTTTTTGGGGTTCAAGCCTTCTATGGGCTCTAAATCCCAAGGACCTGAAACCATCCATCCCCTAAACCATACACACCTAAGCCCTGCCCTACGCCCCTCCCCCTTAAACCTCTCTTCACGATGCGAAATGGCAGTTGGCTAAGCACGTTGTTGGGAGTGTTCTATTTTTCTTCAAAGATGCTCCAAAAAACCCAGTTGGTCTGGCCAATGGATGCCATGGTAGCAGGGAGGCTATCATCGTTTGGGCATTTTGCTCTGGCCAATCGGATGCGAGATTCTCAAGCGTCAATCATACTTCAGAACAGCTCAGCATCAAGTCGACCTGGGCGAAAAGTGCGGGGCAAGCGAGCCCGATGGACCCAAGACCGAACCCTGGAGAAACCGGGGTCTCGCCGGGGGGCGGGCCGGAGGGGGGGGGGGAGGGGTGTTTGTGGAACTTAGGTTCGAGTTGCCATAGCAAAGGCAATTCATCCAGTACTCTACAACCCTGTGATGGGAACTTTGTGTAAGGTCCTAGGGTTTAGGGTGTTTGTGAGGCGCATGCGGGTTCTCTTGTGTTGGGCCTCCTAAGCCCTCAGCTCTCAACCTACTAATTGCTAAAGAACCCCGAAAATACAAAATGTTCTTCCTTACTCAGGGTAATATAGGGATGTTTATTCTTTGTTCTTTTGGGGTTCTTAAGCAAACAGTGGCAACTTGTGGCTCAGGTACAGCTCAGAGGAGGAGCTCGGTCACTTGGTGGCGACGGTGATGGCTGAGGGTACATCCTCGGAGCTCGCTGTGAGGGGGCTGGAACCGAAGTCCCACATGGGCTATGGCTGTGGTTTTGTGTGGAGGGTTCAAGGTTTAGGGCCTGGGGCTTTGGGTCTTTTGGTCTTCTGGTCCGTCCCTATGCGCATCTTTGGGGCGAGAAGTTAGGGGATGTAAGGTGGCCACCAGCGTCCTACTCGCTCACAGTTGTCTAGGACCGTGAGTAGGCCCGTTTTTCCTTTTTTAAGGCTGGGGGTTCCCTTAAAGTCCCCTTAGAACCAAAAAGGGCACCCTTTTTTTCCTAGGTTACTCCCGGGTCAAGTTGTTCGTCTGAGCCCTTAGCCTTGGGTCCCAGGCCGTAGACGGCCCAGCCGAGGAGGTGTTGCTGTGCTGCTTGTGAACGACAACAACGACAACCCGCGCCAGATTGGCACGCTTCTGGGTTTTGGAGTACTATACTTTAGTCCTTTGTTTGGTTCTGGGGTCCTATTATGGCTACTTATACCTAACAAGTATACTCCAAAGGTGGGGTTTTTTCAGCTGCAGTTGGCGTTTTTTTGCCTCAGGGCCCTTGACTTAGGCTTTGGTCTCCAGCAATCTTCCCAATACTTGAACACCGGCATGGGTTGCCCTAAACCCTAAACCCTAAACCCCAAAAGGGCTCAAGCTCTAGGTTTGCCTCCCTCCCCCCCCCCCCCCCCCCCCCCCCCTCCCGATTCCCGCACAGAGCCGAGGCAGCTCGTGCTACTTCGCCTGGCCTTTCAAGTTCCTTCCGAGCCCGTCAGTGGCCTCCTGCCACAGCTGGAGACGGGCCTCTGGCTCCTGGCCGATTCCTGGCAGAAGGAACCCTACCTTAAGAACCCAAAACCTACTTTTTTGTAGGTTACCTATAAGAATCCGAAAAGGGGTTCTATAGTAAGAGCCTACAAAAAAGCAGGCTTTGGGTTCTTAAGGTATACTTCAAAAGGGTTATCTGGGCGGATGTAGGGCGACCAATTCCTGCATAGAACAAGGCGATGCAGCCGCAACTGCATGTGTACATCGCTCTTCCTCTTCTTGCTAGAAATCATATCACAGACATTGCTCTTTATGAATACATGCACTGAGTTATAATATACACTCTGAGAGAACTGTTCAAGCGAAACCGTATGTTTGATAACAAGCGCGGGTTTAACGCGTCGCCGATAGCACTTCAGAACACACTTTCAAGGGTTTAGGTGTTTTATACTGTTGGGTTCAGGGGCACGAGGATTTATAGGGTTTAGGGCGCCCGAACAGTCTAAGGGTAGCCATCTGGGCCCTTCGTGCGGTCCCCTACCTCCTCGAAAAGGGTTCTGAAGTAGTGGCCCTTGAGGTTTTACAGGGTATATGAGGCTTATATAAGCTCGTGTGCGAAGCTCCCCGAAGCGCCAAACCCAAAACCCAAAACCCTCAACCCTAAACCCTAAACACCTATACCCCGCCCATTCCACGCTTACACCTCGCCCTTAACCCCCCCCCCCCCCCCCCCTTATACCCCTCTTATACCCCCCCCCCCCCATATACCCCCCACCTCCCCTTATACCCCAGGCCCCAAGCCCTAAGCCCTAAACCCTAAACCCTAAACCTTAAACCCTAAACCCCAGGCGGCAGCCGGGCTATTGCTGCTCGCTCTGGTCTACTACGTGCGTCGTAGGTCGGCCAGGCACGTGCGATTCCAGGCAGGGGCCTCGGCTTCCCCTTCCAGCGCGGGGGGGGTTTAGGGTTTAGGGTTTAGGGTTTAGGGTGTAGGGTTTAGGCAAACCCTACACCCTAAATCCTCAACACCTTGAACCTTTCAAGAACCCAATTGCTGTCTTGTCCATTCACTGGTGGCTGGGCTTGGACTGCTTCCGGATCAGAAGGTAGGGTTTAGGGTTTGGGGTTTGGGGTTTAGGGTTTTGAGGGTTTAGGGTTTACTGTAGGTTCTGGGGGGGAGGGGGGCTCCTGTCATAAGGTTTTGTAGTATCTTCCCTACTTTTTCTACTTGCCCGGCTCCTTTCAACATCCCAGATGCCACCCTGAGCCCTAAACCTTAAGCCACCTTTAAGTCGTCAGGACCCAAACCCCAAACCCCAAACCCCAAAACCGCGGCCCAAGAGCTCACGAACCATGGGCTGCAGACCGCAAGGCTCTCTCAAGCGTGACTCGCAATTCTTAATTCTTGCGGGGGAGGAAAGGGCAAAAATCACTGAACTCCTAACCCTGACGAAGCACAAAAAACTCCCTAGCCCACCTCCCTGCCCAGCGTAAAGCCTTCCCCAAGCCCCCTAACCCCCCTTTAGGGTTTAGGGCGTAGGGTTTAGGGTTTAGGGTCTTGGGTTTGGGGCTTAGGGCTTCCAAACACTAAGCTCCGGAAACTCCTTAACTTAAGCCCTCGACCCGGCACCCCGCAAAACGAAGTCCCCAAAGCTGCAAAAAACTCGCAGGATGCCCCTGACGAAGGCCGGCCTTTGGCGTAGGCTTCAGGTTTGGAGTTTCGGGTTTCCCTAACCCCTAAGCCCTAAGCCCTAAACCCTAAAGCCTAAACCCTAAAACCTAAACCCTAAGCCCTTAGCCCCAAGCCCTGCAGCTTCTGGAGTATTTCGGTAGGGCTTGTAGAGCAGCTCTGGGAGCTTAAGGCCTGGGATCCGGTCAGGAGTTCAGGGATTTTGAAGCTTTATTACTGTTATTATTATTATTAGTATTATTATTATTATTTATTGAAGATTGTTTTTCTTTTTCTTCTTATGATCATTACCATGATTATTATTTGTTGTATTTCAAGTCTTGGGTGGTGCTGGGAAAGGGGTTTCGGGTTTAGGGGTTTGGGAGTGAGGGTTCAATTTTCAAGTTTTCCTTTGGGTCTTAGGGTTTAGGGTTTCTAAGGTTTTTTCAGAGCTTAGGGCTTAGGGTTTAGTCGGGCTTATGGGGTTCAGGGTGATTGTTTCAAGTTGTTTTTGGGTTTTAGGGTTTAACTCAAGATTGAGGACTTGGGTAACCCTAACGTTGACCAACTCCCATACTGGCCCTGGCTAGCTCGGCGTCCTCTTGCCGGCCCACAGGATCAGGATTTAGACTTCAGTAGCACAATCGATGAGTTCGAAGCACTGCTTTCCAAATCCGTTGCCAAACAAAGACCTCAACTCCGAACCCTAAACCCTAACTCCTAAACCCTAAACCCTAAACCCTAAACCCTAAACCCTAAACCCTAAACCTGAGTTCCCTGGCTTGACAGACCTGCAGCGCACATAAGCACAGGCTATCTGTAGGGGTTGGAATAGTTACGAATAGTATTCCGTTAGGGTCCCTTTTAAAATATGTGAAAAAGAAACCCAAAAACCTGATTCTGACTATTCAGGCCCCTATATTACTTGGCGCAGCCTATGCCGATGTGTCATCTTAAGCTTGCAGATGACTCTGCCCCTGCGCTCTGCTCTGCTGCTGAGCCACTTCCATGCCTTTCCGTCCTTGTTCGCCGATGTTGCGAGAGAAAGCAAGCCTCATCTCCAGGAGCACTTGCAGCTGTTTGCGCGATGCTTCCCTGAGACCTATCCCTTCGGCTACGGCAAATGCTGCCGCGATCCGGGTGGCCGGTGGTACAAAGACCACATGGATGCTCGGCCACGCTCAGAATCTTTTGAAACTAAGAGGCCTAGATCCCCTAAACCCTAAACCCTAAACCCTAAATCCTCGAAATCCCCATTCCTCACAGTGCCTTAAGGCCGAAGCAAGTGAAGGCTTAGGAGTTGGGGCTCAGGGTCCTTAAAGTAACGCAGCGGTCCATTCAAGGCTTAGTAGAGCACCTTGCGAAGTGCTAAACCCTAAACCCTAAACCCTAAACCCCAAACCCTAAACCCTAAACCCTAAGCAACCCTAAAAACCCTAAACCCTAAACCCACAATGCCGACTCTAAGGAAGTTCTTTGCTGGGACCTGGCGAATGGGTTCAACTTTCAGAGCTGCTGCCTCTTCAAGTTCGGACCAGAGCCACTCGGTTTTTGCTGAAGTGGCGGTTTTGGGTTTAGGGTTTGGGGTTTAGGTTTAGGGTTAGGGTTTGGGGTTAGGGGGCTTAAGGCCTTTTTGTGGTTCTCACGGGGTCTGGGGGTTTAGGGGTTTAGGGCCCCGAATTTGGGGTTCAGGCCTTTCGGGCATGAGGGCTTGTGGGATTCAACTAAGGAACTAAGGACATCATAGGGTTGAAGGCGGGCCCAAGGATTGACCCTAAACCCAACCGGGGGGGGGGGGGGGGGGGGGGGGGGGGGGGGGGGGGCGGGAGGGGGGGGGGGGGGGGGGGGGGGGGGGCGGGGGGGGGGGGGGGGGGGGGGGGGGGGGGGGGGGGGGGGGGGGGGGGGGGGGGGGGGGGGGGGGGTGGGGGGTGTGGGGGGGGGGGGGGGGGGGGGGGGGGGGGGGGGGGGGGGGGGGGGGGGGGGGGGGGGGGGGGGCGCATCTTCGGGACATAAGGCGGAAGCTGCGACAGCCCAAACGACCAAAGCCCTGAACGCAACCAGAAATGCACCCCGCCATCCAGCGGACCTAGAAAATTTTAGGCCCTAACAAGCCTTGAACCCTACACTCCAACCAACGCCCTTAGGGAAACAGCAAGGAAGCCCAAATAACTACATGAAACAGAAATGGATAAATAAATATATATATATATGTATATATATATATATGTATGTATACATATACACATACTATATATATATACTATATAGATATGTATATGTCTTTTACATTCAAAAGAACCGGAAAATTAAAATTCAAAAGTTTCCTACTAATCATAAGAATCACAGTAGAACTTGAAAGTCATCATAGTCATAGTAATGCTAAATGAGCCAGGGCTTAGGGTTTAGGGTTTAGGGTTTAGGGTTTAGGGTTTAGGGTTTAGGGTTTAGGGTGTGCATGCGAGGTCGCGCGCTCGGGTGTGAAGCACCCCGGGCCGCGCGCTCGCGTTGCCCGCACACCCGCCCCGGCCACCCAAACTATTCTCAATTAGGGTTTAGGGTTCACCCCCCCAACCCCCCTCAAGGGGGGCTTTCACCTCAACCCAAGACGCATTTCAAGTCGTCATCGCCCAGCCCACTTGAGGCTCGAAAGCATGTATTGAGGTTCGAAAAACGCTTGGTGGTAACCTCGGCCCTGCTCGGGCCGAGGATTCTTGCCCTGTTCGGACCGCCCTGAACACTAAATCATCGTCCAGCCCTCTTGAGGCTCGAAAGCATCTATTGAGGTTCGAAAAACGCCTGGTGGTAACCTCGACCCTGCTCGGGCCGAGGCTTCTTGCCCTGTTCGGACCGCCCTGAACACTAAATCCTGAACGCTTCGGCCCCTCTGCCTTAGAGGCCCACGCGTTTCAATCTGCCATCGCCCAGCCCTCTTGAGGCTCGAAAGCATTATTGAGGTTCGGAAAGCGTCTCGACCCTGTTCGGGCCGAGGCTTCTTGCCCTGTTCGGCCGCCCTGAACATTAAATCCTGAACGTCTGCAAGCACCTCAAACCCTGACGAGGCGCACGGGAGTGATTGGGCCCTCACAACGCCCCCAAAATCACGAAATTGAGCAACCAGCCTGCCTGGACGCCCTCGACGGCCCCCTGGTCCAGGAATCCAGCCACCAGGAACAGGGGGCCCCCCGGGGGGCGAGTCGAGATGCCCAAAAATCACGAAATTGAGCAACCAGCCTGCCTGGACCCCCTCGACGGCCCCCTGGTCCAGGAATCCAGCCACCAGGGGCAGGGGGCCCCCGGGGGGGGGGGGCGCGGCAAGCCCTCCGAAACCCTAAGCGACCCCAATGGCCCCAGGTTTGGGGTTCTACTTTAGTTAACACGAAAGGTGGTCTGGATACGGCCATCCCTTAGGCCAGCAAGGGGTCGTTGGCCTGTACAGGACAAGCCGGTGAGGCTTTACCCTCACCTCTCCGCGGCCCGCTCTTTTCGTATGGGCGCTCGGGCTGTGAGCCCTCGGCCAAGCCGTTCGGGGTCTGTCGCTCGACGGAAGCGACCCCTCACTAAGTTTAGGGTTTAGGGTTTAGGGTTTAGGGTTTGGGGTTTAGGGTTTAGGGTTTAGGAGCCCAGGCTCAGGGGCCTGCCCTTCGCCAGCGATTCGGCGCCGGCGGCGCCCGTGGAGTTCGACCTCCCGGTGGCTGGGCGGCTGAGCCTCCGAACGAGCTCGGAGGCCGGAGGATTTTTTTTTTTTGGGGGGGGGGGGGGGGGGTTTAGGGATATGCTTTTTGTTTTGTTTTGTGTTTTTGCTTTTGTTTTAGAGTTGGAAGGTTTATATAGGGTGTAGGGCCAGGGCTTAGGGTTGGGTTTAGGGTTTAGTGTTTACAGGGTTGTTGGGGGGGGGGGCTTCGAGTTTGCGGTTTTGTGGTTTGATCATAGGTTTTAGGGTTGGAAGAAAGGGCTTTTTGTGGGGCATGGCCTTGTGGAGACTTGGCGAAGCCTAGAAAGCGAGTGAAACACGCTAAACCGTAAACCTTAAACCCTGAAACCCTCAAAGCCTAGAACCCAAAAAACCTTACACCCCTCAACCCTCAACCCCTGAACCCCTAAACCCCTCACCCCCCCCCCACCCCCCCCCAACCCCTAAACCGCCTAAACCCCTAAACCCCTAAACCCATCAACTCCTAAACCCCTAAACCCCTAAACCGAAAAAACCCTAAACCCCAAAACCCCTAAACCCCTAAACCACTAAACCCCTAAACCCCAAAAACCCCAAAAGCCCCTAAACCCCAAAAACCCCAAAATCCCCAATTGACCGACGCCTCCGAGTCTAGGGTGGCCCTTGGGATATTGTACATATTTCCAATTGGGTTTCACAGGATCATATTCAAGAATCTTTTCAGAGGGTTTAAGGGCCCTAAAGTGCCTAAGCCCTAAAACCTAACCCTAAACCCTAAACCCTAAACCCTAAACCCTAAACCCTAAACCCCCCCAGCGAGGCCGACGCCTCCGAACCCTCCGGCTCCTTCTGGCCGGCCGGCTGGATCTTTGCGCGCCTGGCCGAGGATCTCCAGGTTGCCGTGCGAGACGGCCAGGATGGGGGTTTAGGGTTTAGGGCTAGGGTTTAGGGTTTTAGGGTTTAGGGCTTAGGATTTTAGGGTTTGGGGTGTAGGGTTAGGGGTTTAGGGTTTGGGGTTTGGGGTTGCGGGTTTAGGCTTATTTAGGGCCTAGGCTCTTGGATGCTCTTGGGGTCCAAGGCTGGCAGCTCTTGATTGTTAACTTCTTGTGTGTTTTGTTTTGTGGCGGGATGTGCGATATGAGCGAAGCGCCTGCTTTGGACTTGGTAAGAACCCTAAACCCTAAACCCTAAACCCTAAAGTAGCTATTCCGGGGAATCTGTAATTGTTCACTATGAATGTCATTCTCCACTCTGCTTTCGGGAAAGAGACTGAACTCATGAGAGGCTCGAAAGCAGTTTGCTTGGAGTATAGGCTCCTTGTGTTCCTTGCCCTCAGAAGTAGGGGTTGGCCATTCTCTGTGTAGCGATAGACTCATGGACATGAAAAGAAGGAACAGCATGCGTTAGCTTTGTGAGCCTGAGACCTCCACACCCTGAGATCATCCACACTCCGGCGCCACCGGCTCCCTCTCAGGAGTATGGCTGGGAAGCTGGTGCGCAGCTGCTGCAGCCTCTGCTGCGTGGAGAACTCAGGGTGTTAGACGTCAGCTGTGGCTTCGGGTTGAGTTCCATCGCCGCTGCCCGCGCCGGGCACAACGTCACTGCCACTGAGATGTCGCGGCATATGCTGCAACTTGGCTCAAAGATCCCTGAACCCTACACCCTAAACCCTAAACCCTAAACCCCAAACCCCAAGATTTGCAAGGTTTGACATTTCAGCAGGTTTTGCACTCCGCTGCGCTGCGGCTGTGGCTTCTGGAGACCTATACTCTGTGCTTTAAGGGTTCAGGTTTTGCAGCGGTGCGCAGAGCACCCCGCCTGGCAGTCACAGCGACCAGAAACGATAACCACCTGCTACACCTCGTTCCTTACCCCTAAATCCTCAACCCCCGAACCGCTAAAACCCTAAACCCGTAAACCCCAAGCTCCTAAACCCCTGAAGCTCTATAAACCCTAAAACACAAACTCCTAAACACTGGACCTAAACCCATAAACCCTAAGCCCTAAATCGTAAGCCCTAAACCCTAAACCCCACCCCAGGCAAATTGCGGGACGCAATGCGCAGCGGAACAGTGCCAAACTCCGCTTGCTGCGCTGGGAGCTGCTGGGTGACGCGCCCACGCCGTCGACCCTAGGTGGGGAGTCCAGCGGCCATTTCTGGGGTTTTAGGGTTCAGGGTTGAGGGTTTAGGGTTTAGGGTTGAAAACGTGCCTAGATGAGATCGGGGGGGGGGGGGGACTTTTGGGATTTTCCTGTCTTCGGTTGCCAACCGAATAGAGTGCGTCTCCGACGGCACCTTTCAAGCAGCTGCCATATAAACTGTTGGGTATCATATGTAATGCCTGTTCGATTTTGTGCCTTGGGGCTGAAATCCTGAATTTAAACAAGTGTTCATATATGTATAGAACATATATATATATACACATATATATATATATACACGTATATCCATATATGTATACACATACATACATATACATATTTACAAATTAGGGATATTATTTCTGACAACTCCCCTCGATTGCCGGCCACACTGCCAACTCCAGGGGACCAGCGCCACGCTCCCGCGGGCTATGCGTTCGACCTTTGCTTGGTGGCTGCTGGGACTTCGAAGAGTAGAGGGTTTAGGGTTCGGGGTTGAGGGTTTAGGGTTTAGGGTTTAGGGTTTAGGGAGCTACGTCCATCGGAGGGACTCTAAGCACTTAGGGCTGAGCAGAATTTAGGTCTACAGGACAGCCCTTGGTCTCAGACTTTGGTCCTAAACCCCAGACTCTAAACCCTAAACCCTAGACCCTAAACCCCAAACCCTAAACCCTAAACCCCAAACCCTGAACCCCAAAACCTAAACCCTAAACCCTAAACCCCGAACCCCTTAGCAGCCCCATCGGCCCAGAAAGGACATCACCTGGGCGGGCGCACGATTCCGTCAGCTGCAGCACGGGTCCATCCCAGAGGAGACTCGGAACCGGGGGGGGGTTTAGGGGTTCAGGGTTTGGGGTTTGGGGTTTAGGGTTTAGGGTTTCGGGTTTGGGGTTTAGGGTTCTGGGGTTTGGGGTTTGGGTTTGGGGTTTGGGGTTTAGGGGTTGGGGTTTGGGGTTTAGGGTCTGAGGTTTAGGATTTGGGGTTTAGGGTCGGGGTTTAGGGTTTGGGATTTGGGGTTTGGGGTTGAGGGTTTACAGCCCAAGGTTTCGGGTTTGGAGTTTCGGGGTTCGCAACTCTCGCTGAGTTCGTGACCAAGCAGGACTATGTGGTGCATGTTCTTGAGTTGTGGGATACTACCAAGAGGGCCCAACTAACCTTTAATCAAGTCTAGCCTGTCATGGCGAACTTTGGTGCAGGGGTAGTTCTCGGCCACTTGCGCCCACTAAACCCCAAACCCCCTAAACCCTAAACCCTAAGTGAAACTCGAACCCTAACCCTGCAGGAGGAACTGGCGCCGACCGTGCAGGACAAGAGCGCCAAAGCCCCAACCCAGACTCCAGAAGTAAACGCTGAAGCCCTGAGGGTCTTCAACAGCCCTAAACCCTAAACCCTAAACCCTAAACCCTAAACCCTAAACCCTAAACCCTAAACCCTAAACCCTAAACCCTAAACCCTAAACCCTAAACCCTAAACCCTAAACCCTAAACCCTAAACCCTAAACCCTAAACCCTAAGCTGAGTTCAAAAGCTCGACCTGCCAGGACATCCTCACCGACGCGCTGCGGTGGCTAAGTCGCCGGGGCGGGTGCCGTCTTCACGCGTCCCACGCCCTTAGGTTTAGGGTTTAGGGTTTAGGGTTGTAGGGTTGTAGGGTTGTAGGGTTTAGGGTTCGAGTTCGCTGGAACGTGTTTCTTTTACGGCGTTAAGGGATGATAGGTCTAGACCCTGTAACCGGATCACCCTAAACCCTATCATGTTGCACCCGCAATATTCTAGGGGGACACTATTACGAAAGTTTTTCGGCTATTCAGGATCTTGGCCCTTTGTTTTGGCGGTACACTATAATGAAAAGTTTTCGGGCCGTGACTGTGTTTAAAATGATTTTTGAGGTCCAAGTTCTTAGTTTGAGATCTGGTTCCAAAACCCTCAATCTCCTGACCCCTTCCCTGCCTGACTGTTTGGGGATTTTTCCAGGGTCCTCGACTGTTTGGGGGGGGGGGGGGGGGGGGGGGGGGTAAGCTTATTAAAGCAGGTCCAACATTACCCTAAACCCTAAACCCTAAACCCTAAACCCTAAACCCTAAACCCTAAACCCTATACCCTATACCCTAAACCCTAAACCCCAAACCCCAAACCGTAGACGACTCCATGGAAGAGCCCAGGTTCATCGGCCACACCGCCGTCCATGGCGCCACGGTCTCTTGAATCTGATTTCCTTTTCCACCGGATTCTTCAATGGAGGGTTTAGGGTTTAGGGTTTAGGGTTTAGGGTTTAGGGTTTAGGGTTTAGGGTGTAGGTTAAATCCCTAGACCGCCCTGAAACCCTGAACCCTGAACCCTAAACCCTAAACCCTAAACCCTAAACCTATAAAACCCCAAGCCGCCTAAGCCCTTCAACCTGAATCCTAAGTTGGAGTCGGCTTCGAGGCTCCTGGCCTGGGGTTTAGGGATAAAGGTCTAGGGGCTAGGTCTTTCAATACGCATTTGGGCCCGTTTAAGTCCCACAAGCACTTCAAGCCGTTAATCCCTTTCTACCTAGGGTTTAGGGTTTAGAGCTTTGAGGGCTTTGAGGGCTTTGAGGGCTTTGAGGGCTTAGGGCTTAGGGTGTAGAAACGTCCCCCCCCCCCCCCCCCCCCCCAAGCCCAAAGCCCAACTAAACCCCTACACTTTAAACTCCAAGGCCTCTGGTGAAGAAAGCCTCGACTCCTATGCCTTCGACAACTACACCGCCGAGCTGGTCCGTGGCCTTCTTCTGTTTAGGGTTTAGGGTTTAGGGTTTAGGGTTTAGGGTTTAGGGTCTAGGGTCTAGGGTTTAGGGTTTAGGGTTTAGGGTATATCTGCAGGGCAGTTTGCGATGGGGGATGCCCACTGTGGTTGTTGAGATTCAAGTGTTTCAGGTGTTTAGGGTTTATAGGGCTAGGGTTTAGGGTTTAGGGTTTCGGGTTTCGGGTTTAGGGTTTTACCTTCAGTCCTCGACTCACACCTGGTATGGCCGAGGCGGCTTGGAAGAGTTCGGCGCCGCGTTCCGACGCGGACGCTCATGTCGGCAGCAAGTAACCCTAAACCCTAAGCCCTAAACCCTATAACCCTAAACCCCAAACCCTAAACCCTAAGCCTACACCCTAAACCTTACACTTTTCACCTTGCCGCTTTCAGACAGGCTGTAGACCTCGTATCGTTTCGGGCCCCTAAGCCCTAAACCCCACAATCCAAGCCCGAAACATCACAACCCCAAACCCAATCAACCCGAAACTCGTACAGTTTTTAGGCTTCACAGGCTTTACAGGCGATTATAGGCTTTATCGGGCCTAGGGTTTAGAGAGTTTTCGTGACCCTAAACCCTGAACCCTACACCCTAAACCCTAGACCCTAGACCCTATAAGCCCTAAACCCACCCGAAAGCACCCGAGGGTCTGGGCCGCGCGTGCCTACCGTGAGCCCCCTTGGCTGGTTCCTGGGCCCAACCAAGGGTTCGCACAAGGTTTGGGGGGTTTTAGGGTTTTGGGTTTAGGGCTTAGGGTTTAGAATTTTAGGGTTTGGTGTTTCGGGTTTGGGGTTTTAGGGGGCCGGGGGGAGTTGAGGGGGCGCGAAAGGAGGATGTGAGGGGGGGGCCGGGGGGGGTTGGGAAAGTTTGGGGTTTAGGACAGCTTCCTCACTGGCGTCCTTAGCTCCTCCATTGGATTTTGTCTTAGGTTTGGGAAAGGGCTGGTGGAGTTCGATTTTCGGGTTTAGGGTTTTCACGATGACTTGGGGCGTTGGGATGTGCGAGCTCTGCCACGCTTTAGGGCAAGCCTTTTAGCCCTGAAACCCTAAAAGCGCCGGCATAACCTCTAATCACCTCAACACCGCTGAGGCCCTGAACACTTGGTAGGTTTTTGGGACATTTGAGTGCAGCCCTTAACCCTTCAAACCCGAAATCCTAAGCCCCTCAACCCCGAAACTCCCGAGCCCCTAAGCCCCTGAAATCCCCAAACCCTAAACCCTACCAACCCTACAAACCCTGCAAGCCCTGCAAACTCTACAAACCCTACAAACCCTGCAAATCCTACAAATCCTACAAACCCCACAAACCCTACAAACCCTATAAGCCCTTAGCCCCAAGCCCCAAACCCTAAACCCCAAACCCTAAATCCTAAACTCTGTTCGGCCATGATCCTGGGTAGGAGAAGGGGGGACCCTTAAAAGAAAACCCCTTCTTAACCCTCCTCTGGCTCTCTTAAACAGGGACCTGATTCAGAGGGTCTATATCCCCAAGGGTCCCCCTAATCCTATCCCCTACATCCCCCACAAACCCTACAAACCCTATAAGCCCTAAGCCCCAAACCCCAAACCCTAAACCCCAAACCCTAAATCCTAAACTCTGTTCGGCCATGAGGCTTGAGAAAGTTGGCTGGACACCTCCCATCTGGTACCGCCTGATTCTGTGGTAAAAGCTCGTGCGGCAGCAGCGGAGATGAGATGCCGAAGTGCTAGGGTTTAGGGTTTAGGGTTTAGGGTTTAGGGTTTAGGGTTTAGGGTTTAGGGTTTAGGGTTTAGGGTTTAGGGTTTAGGGTTTAGGGTTTGCCTGTTCGGTTTCGATGTGTGAGTATAGAGTTTCGGGCATAAAGGGCCAAAGGGCTTAGTACCGTACCCCCTAAACCCCAAACCCCAAATTAGTCTAATGGTGTACCTGCTATATTTATAGAAAATATTTCGATGTGTGTAGATTAGAGTTTAGGGGATACAGGGCCAAAGGGCTTAGTACCCTAAACCCTAAGCCCGAAACCCTAAACCCCAAACCCTAAACCCTAAATTTGCGGGCCGGAGGGCTTAAGGGCTCAGAGATGAGGGTATAGCAAGCTCCAGCCCCAAAAGCCTTTGCCACCCCAATGCTGCACAAATCTCAGACCCAACCCCCCTCGACACCACTGTTTGTTGTTATCCTCGCTTAGGGTTTCGGGTATAGGGTTAGAGTTTAGGGTTTAGGGTTTGGGTTTAGGGTACGGGGGGCAACCAAACGGGGATAACAGAAGACTAAACCACTCTCACCCAAAAGGCAGCCCTAGACTTTTGCCCTTTAAATTTCACAAACCAAAAGCGGAGGATACAAAGAGAAAGGGAGGCTCTAGGGAAAGGCTTGCCTAAGCACCACACGCCTAACCCCAGCAACCCAACCCCCAAGAACACGGAACTACCTTTTCCTTGCCACAAGCGGTCAGTGGCCATCTTGAGCCAAACATCCACGGGTTCATTGACCCTTTACAACTACTTCCAACATAATGCCTGAAATACGAACTGCAGCTCCGCATAGGGTTTAGGGTTCAGCACTCCGGGTCGAGCAGTTTTTAGTTTTATTTGCGGCTCTGATATAACACCCACCCACCCAGAAAATCCCACAACATTGAGAAAGCAACAAGCGGACAAGTTCTTAAAGAAAAACACAGCGGCTTTATTCTGAAAATATAGCGGCCTTATTCTGAAAATAGAGTGGCCTTATTCTGAGAATAAACCTGCCTTATTCTGAAATAAAGCGGCCTTATTCTGAAATTCAATTAGCCTTTGGCCTGATTTTGGCAAAACTCTGAAAATAAAGCGGCCTTATTCTGAAAGTAAAGCGGCCTTATTCTGAAATTCAGTTAAGGCTTAAGTATATATGGTAGAGAGGGTTTAGGGTTAGGGCCGAGCATGCCTGAAAGATTCTTGCTGGGTGTCGGTGTGCCACCTGCTTTGACTTTGACCTCTTTGGCCCCCGAATGATCCGCGCGTAGGCACCAGTCAGAGCATCACCCTGCCGACGACCATCGGCCGCGTTTGACCGGCAGGACGGGTTCTTGTAAGCGCGTGGTTGAGGGTTCGAGTGGAAGCCTGCTGTTTTTGACGAAGGTTTCCGGCTTTTCTTCTCAATTCTTGGCTGCGCTGCACTGCCCAGCCGTGCACTCTAATCACCCTAAACCCTAAACCCTAAACCCTGTTTCAGGAGGGCGGCTCCTTGTGTGAGAGGCCCCAGCCAGCTCCAAGATGTGTTGCCGAAGGACCGACGCTCATGCCAAGCAACGGAGAAATCAGCCAGCCTTGTAGCTTGAGACCTTTCACCCTAAGCCCTAAAACATAAAGACTAAACCCTAAACCCTAAGCCCCTAAACCCTAAACCCCAAACCCTAAACCCTAGACCCTAGACCCTAAACCCTAAACCCTAAACCCTAAACCCTAAACCCTAAACCCTAAACCCTAAACCCTAAACCCTAAACCCTAACACTAAACCCAGTATGAAGTATTACTCTAGGCAAGCTCTCCAAACCCTTTGACCCGAACCTTCCCTGAAGCCTGAACCCTCGAGTCGAGGGGTCTTAGGGAAGAATCGTGTCGTCCAGGGGTTTAGGGTTTAGGGTTTAGGGTTTAGGTCTTAGGGTTTGGGGTTTAGAGTTTAGGGTTTAGGGTTTAGCAAGCCGATGAATGTCCCAACAAGCGGCCTGAAGACCAAACGCCCAAGCCCACAAAGCCTTCTGCGACCTACTTGTATCCGCGCCAGGTATGGGCCCTTTCGGTTTTAGGGTTTGGGGTTTAGGGTTAGGGTTTGGGGTTTAGGGTTTGGGGTTTGGGGTTTAGGGTTTGGGTTTAGGGTAGCTTTTTGAACGTACTGGTTCCCTTGAAGGGTACATTTGGGGATGTGAGGTACCTAGTTCGGCGAAGATTGTTCTCACCCCAAACCCAAACCCCTAAGACTCTGCATAAGGCCCTACATGCTATAAACCCTAAAAAACCTAAGCCCTGAAACCCTACAACCCTAAACTTTAACGTTTCAGCCCAGACGCCTCAAGGGCCACCGGGGAGAGGGGGGGGGGGGTGCCTTCCTATGAGCCTTGTATACCCCGCACCGAAGCCTCATGACCCTGAGTACCCTTGCAAGTATAAGGAGCCCTAAACCCTAAGCTCTACTCACAGAAGCCTTATCGAAAAGGTACCACCCTAAAACCCTAAACCCTAAACCCTAAACCCTAAACCCTAAACCCTAAACCCTAAACCCTAAACCCTAAACCCTAAACCCGAAGTTGCCCAAAGACCCTCCCGAGGTCGCACGGAGGGGCGACCGAGGCAAGAAGGGCGGCGCTGCGGAGAAGGCCCGGGCTTTTGGGAGGTTTAGGGTTCAGGGTTTAGGGTTTAGGGTTCAGTTTTTAGGGTTTAGGGTTTAGGGCTCCGAAACCTATGAACGAGTTCTTTCCAAGAACGAAACCCCAAACACCCGAAACCCCAACCTCTGAGTGTCCTCCTGTGACCCGAGGCTCCCGCAGCCACTGTCGAGCTGGAGCAGGACGGCAGCTAAACCCGAAACCCTGAACCCCAAAACCCCTAAACCCTAAACCTCAAAAGCCGTAAAGCCTAAACCCTAAACCCTAAACCCTAAACCCTAAACCCTAAACCCTAAACCCTAGCTCCACATCTTTTTCTACAAGAGCAGGTCCTCCAGAAACGCGCCGACGGCCGAGCAAAGTGGCTGGCCAAGGCCTTGATCCAGGCGCCTGAAATCCCGGAAACAAACCTCCATCTAGTAGCCCTAAACCCTAAACCCTAAATCCTAAACCCTAAAAAACCCTAAACCCTAAACCCCCATGTAGTAGTTCAAAACCGTAAACCCAAACCCTAAACCCTAAGGAAGGAGCCCCAGACCATACAAGAAGCCAATCTCAGAAGTGTTAGGCGTCCGATGGTCGCCTGGACGCCCAATCCCTGTACAGCGTGGTGGCGCACAACCGCTTCGTGGAGGACTTGACGGAGAAGGCGACTGTGTGTGTAGAGCTTAGGATTTATAGGATATATGAAGGTTCATAAGGGTTTAAAACCCTAAGCCCTAAACCCTAAACCCTAAACCCTAGACCCTAAACCCTGAACCCAAGTCTTCCGCTCTCCCAGGCCGGCAACAAGATGTACCGGGCCTTGCAGGCAAACCTCCATGTCTTCTCATCGAAACAGCGACGGTTCTTGGAGAAGGAGCTTTTCGAGTGGGGTTTAGGGTTTAGGGTTTAGGGTTTAGGGTTTAGGGTTTAGGGTTTAGGGTTTAGGGTTTAGGGTTTAGGGTTTAGGGTTTAGGGTTTCTTAAGGGTTGCATTGCCTATAGGGACTCAAGGAGCTGTCGAGGGTTGAATGAGTACAGCTGTACACTTCTTGGGCTATCATTAGGGGATAGGATTAGGGGGACCCTTGGGGATATAGACCCTCTGAATAAGGTCCCTTGTTAAGAGAGCCAGAAGAGGGTTAAGAAGGGGTTCCCTTTTAAGGGTCCCCCTTATCCCACCTAGGAATCATAACCCCTTGTAGAACTGCAAGTGTGCACTTTCTCTTGGGTCTTGTGTACTCAGCAACCAAGAGAAACCTAAACCGCTTAAACCCTAAACCCTAACACCCTAACACCCAAAACCCAAAACCAAGCCACTGAAATGTCGCCTTGATGTGCTTCTGGCGCTATGCTTGGAAGGGGACTCTGGGGTTGGCAGAGGGCTCAGGGTTTAGCAATTCAACCCTAGCGTGCCTAAACCCTAAACCCTATACCTTTAAATGCCTTTTGACAACTTAGTAGCTGTGTAAGTAGCCACCTCACCTTTTGGCATACGCCTACCATACTTAAAAGAGTGAAGCTAACCTTTTTTGGCCAAGGGTCTGAGCAGGGGGGTGGTGCCCAACACCGAAGCGCCTCAGAAAGCCCTAAACCCTAAACCCTAAACCCTAAACCCTAAACCCTAAACCCTAAACCCTAAACCCTAAACCCTAAACCCTAAACCCTAAACCCTAAACCCTAAACACTAAAACCCTAAACCCTAAACCCTAAACCCTAAACCCTAAACCCTAAACCCTAAACCCTAAACCCTAAACCCTAAACCCACACACGTTCATGGGCCCTAGCCTCCTTAAAAGGGTTCTCATGTCTAGGCCCATCGTTTGTATAGGGTATGTAAGGGGTATATAAGGGGTACGCCTTTAATAAGGGCCCGTACTAAGGGGCCCTGTAGCTACCCTTGGTGTGTTGGGGTTCGATAAGGCGCAGGTTTGGATGAAATGTTTTTTGTGTGAGACTGTCAAGGGTTAAGGCTGCGAGGTTGCCAGGGTTTAGGGTTTAGGGTTTGGGGTTTAGAGGGGTTTGTAGGGTTCTGGGGTGTTGGGGGGGTTTTAGGTTGAGGGGCTTAGGGCTTAGGGGCTTAGGGCGCAGGGCTCAGGGCTCAGGGCTTAGGGTTCCCTAAACCCTAAAGCCTAAACCCTAAGCCCTAAGCCCTAAACCCTAAAACCTAAACCCTAAACCCTAAACCCTTAAGGGCTTGGCTTGCGCGCAAGGACTGTGCTCTGGCGAAGCCTCCCCGGCCTGTGTGTTGTGTGTGTGCCCTAAACCCTTAACCGTAAACCCTAAACCCCAGACCCTAAACTCTAACGCTAAACCTGTTGTTCTTTTGTTGTTCATCTGGCC